TAAAAAAACATACAAATTATTTTATTGGATTAAACAATGGAGTTCTCGAGTTTGTCTTAACAAACAAAATTTTAAATTAATTTGTTTATGACATTAGATTGGTCATCCTCGCCTGATATTTGGCAATTAGGCAATTGACAAAATTTTGTTATCCCTTTATTGCTTTAAGAGCCAAGACGTCGTAATGACACTTGCGTGTCTCACGGATATTGGAGTAGGGCGGCGTTTAATTATTATTTTGCGTTTAGTTTCCAATATTGGGTTTAGCTATGCAAATAAATACTGGCGTGAGTCAAACTCAAACGATGTTATAAAACTTAGTTATGAATAGCAATGATGGAAATGAATGCCAGCCTTAAGTTATTAAATTTTTAGCCTAAATGTAATAACTCATGTGACTTCTTCTTTTACTATAAACTTGCCATACGACAGCAGTTACTAACTACAGAGATATCTGTAGTTGGCCTTGATAGCAAATGCGAAATGCAGCACAGTGGAAATGACTTGTTAAAATCTCTCAGCTTATCGATACTTTACCGGTTCGATAGTTTTAGTGTCATCGCTAATAATAAACATCAATACTAACATATGTTAACATAAGATTTTGCGAATCTCTAATTTGTGATTTTTACACAATTAAAAATGATAAAAGCTATACTTGTATTTAACAATCATGGGAAACCTCGTCTTTCAAAGTTCTATCAATATTTTGTAAGTATTAAGCGTTTCGAGTAAATGTACATTACTTTCGTATGTTAACAAAAAGTGAAAACAATACGTAGCAAAAACAAGAGTGGGTGAAGTACACACAAGTTTGTTTTGAATTTGTTTAAACAATGTAAATATATATATTTTTTTTAAATATTTATCTGTGCTAAAACATATGAATATATACTATGAGATGAAGTATACAAATGAACTGATTTTATATTTTAAATAGGATGAAAATCTGCAACAACAAATCATTAAAGAGACGTTTCAGCTAGTCTCAAAGCGCGATGATAACGTTTGCAATTTTCTGGAAGGCGGCAGGTAAATCTACATTATAATATAGAACATAAGTAAAACTTCTGAATATATGTGTTGAACATACAGCTAGTCATTACAGCAATCACAGAAAGTTAAACTAACCCAAACAAGTGTGATCAATGCATTTGATTAATAAATTAGCAACAAAGGTATTCACTGTAAAATTACAAATTGAACTAAAATTGTAGGAAATTCCAACCTCTTTCAAATGGCAAAACAGCATTAATAGTATTTAATGTTTAAATCCTCATATTGTTATCATATGAAAATATAATCAATAACATCAATTTTGTTTGATAATATAAATATAACACAAGAAGTTATCAAAAAAAGCCTTATCTACAGCGACGAAACCTTTTAATAGTTTTGACCTCCAAATAATATCCCCAGCGAATTAGATTGTTTATTTGACTTAGATGCTTTCAAAAGCTTTGTGTTTTGATATTTAAAGCAGAAAGGCTTAAAGCAAAACTATTGCGGCAGATGTATAAATCTAATTAATTCAATAATTCTTATATATTAATTAAAAATTTTAATCCCTTAGCTTAATTGGCGGCTCCGATTACAAGCTGATATACCGACACTATGCCACACTCTACTTTGTCTTCTGTGTTGATTCCTCAGAGAGTGAGCTGGGTATATTGGATCTGATACAGGTGTTTGTCGAAACTCTGGATAAGTGTTTTGAAAATGTGTGCGAATTGGATTTGATATTTCACGCTGATGCCGTTCATCATATTCTGTCGGAGCTTGTTATGGGCGGAATGGTGCTGCAAACAAATATGAATGACATAATCACGAGGATTGAAGATCAAAATAAGTTGATCAAACAGGAATCAGGAATCTCAGCGGCGCCAGCGCGTGCGGTTAGTGTTGTTAAAAGCATGAACATTCCACAGCAAATCAAGGACATAAAACTGCCAGACCTTCCACAAGCCATAAAGGACTTGAAATTTTGATTCGAGGTAAGTTTATGGACTTGACTTTTTTATTTGATATATTTAATTAAATTCTGCTCTTCTTACAGGTGTGCCGCTACAAATGTTATTATTAAATTAGTGATTTAAGTACTAATAGATGAAATCTGAATTTAATATGTATTGTCCATATAATAAAGAAAGAAATGACTACTATTATACAAGTTTAGCAATTATTATGATAGTTGAACAAATGTTTATGAAATATTGTATGTAAGCTCTACTTCCCACTAATGTCTAGACATTCCCTTATTTCCTTTGACAATTTGAGAAAATTGAAAAAAAAATAAAAGATTATTTTCAGAATTGTTATTAAAACATGATGTTATTGTACCATTGTTTAAATATCATTTGTTCGCTATAAGGAAGTAAGTATAATAATTTATATTAATTTCCATATAACTTGTTATGCAATTATGAGTCTATTTTTAAACTCTTCGGCTTTCTGGCATTTGCGAATATAGGGAATATTCGACTTAGTTAGACATTCACATAAATTAAAAAATGTTAGACATTTTGGACATTTATAATAAAAATGCAATTTACTTACATATATAATATATATAAACTCTTAAGAGCAGAGTATCTGTTAGTTGCATTTAAAGGAAAATATTTAGCTGATAAATATACCATTGAAAAAAAAAAAAAAAATAAGCCAAATAAGTGCCGTTCCGGTATTTCTGTCTTGGAGATATTTATAATTTCTGATTATTACATATCGCTGCTATATATGCACGCACAATGGCGATTTATTATTGATATTGAAAACGAGAACATTTTCAATACAGACAAAGAAAAGCAGTCGAAACAGGCGTCGCCGACTGCTTAATACCCGAGCTACACAATAATACTATTCAGTTTATTTTTAGTATGTGCAGAATATTATAGAGAATATATTGAAGATTAAATAGATGCCACGCCTTCAATGGGCGTATACACTCGAGCTGCCATCCCGAATTTCAGCTATCTACCCTGATGAACGTTGCACAAAACTAATATACTCACTCTAGCAAGCCTAAACGGGTATAATCAAGCTTTAGATAGTGGTGTAGATTACTTGCTCATCTGCTCGCATGCATACATAAATTAATAGGGCAACGGAAATAATCGTAATATTCAATTAAATCGCTTGCATTGAGCAACATCGATCCGAAGTCTGGAATAATGAGTTTGTGCATAATTGGGGCTGGCACCGCTGGACTTTGCTGTGCTCGGCGTGCACTTGAGAATAATCAAATTCCGACAATTTTTGAACTTTCAAATCAAATCGGTGGCACATGGATTTATAACGAGAATACTGGCACAATCAATGGCATCGATGTGCACAGCAGTATGTATGAGAATTTGCGGTATGTAAACAACTATATATTAATATTGGTATATATCTATATAGTATAACTATATCCTTACTATATTTGCATATATTTAGCACTAATTTACCCAAGGAGGTGATGGGATTTCCGGATTTTGAGATCGGCGCGAACAAAGATTCCTATATATCATCTCAAGACATTTGCTTGTTCTTGAATAGTTATGCTGATCATTTCGAGTTGAGAAAATATATAATATTCCAATCCTATGTATTGCGGGTCTTGAAGAAGAAGGATAAATGGCAAGTAAGTAGTATATAGAATATAAATCACTAGACAGAAAAATACTATAAAAGAATACAATCTAATCTGTTTTAATTTACCTTTTTATAGGTCCTTGTCAAGAATCTCTTGACAAATGCTATGAAATATTATTATTTTGATAAAATAATCATAGCAAATGGGCATTATCATACTCCAAATTATATACAAATCCCGAATGCGAATCTGTTTAAAGGCGAATACATGCACAGCCATGATTATCGAAAAAGCGACGTTTTCCAAGGTACTTTTAAGATTGAAGATATTATATTATGAAATTTACTTTTATTTTCTAACGATTCCTACAGGCAAGCGCGTTTTGGTGATTGGCGGCGGACCAAGTGCATTGGACTTGTCGAATATCATATCGAAGGCGGCAAAGGAAGTTACTCTTAGCCACCATTTGGAGGGTATTTCGAATTCGATATTCCTTGAAAATGTCACGACTAAGCCGGATGTCAGGGAGTTGAACGAAAATGGCGCATATTTTGTGGATGGATCCTATAAGGAATTCGATACGATTTTCTACTGCACCGGCTATAAGTATTCCTTTCCGTTTCTCAGCATTAATGCAGGCATCTATGTCGAGGACAATTGGGTGCAAATGCTCTATAAGCAGTGCATCAATATACGAAATCCCTCAATGGCGCTGATTGGTTTGCCATTCTATGTGTGCGCCGCGCAGATGATGGATCTGCAGGCACGATTTGTCTACAGCTACTTCTATGGCAAAAATCAATTGCCGTCAGCGAAGGAAATGACCGAGGAAACAGTGAATAAGGTGAAAAGTCTATTGGCCCAGGGCTATAAAAAGCGACAGGCACATATGCTTGGCAATAATCAGGTGAGTCTTGAGATTAACTAATCTAATCCCCACAGTAATACAAATTTCTTTATTTCATTTCAGATGCAATATTTTACAGAATTGGCGAATGCCGCGCAGATTGAGAACATTAAACCAGTTATGGCAAAATTACATTGTGAGAGCAGCAATTTATTCAATGAGAACTTGCTTCACTTTCGAGAGGACATTTTCAAGATAATTGACTCTGAAACGTTCGTTAAAGTTAACTGATAAGAAATCATATATTTTGTTCAATAAAAATATATATAAATATAACAATAAAATAATTATAATTATACAAAATAAATGAATAAAAATTGTGTCAAAGAAACATAAATAAATAAAATAAAACATGTATAACTTCCCCTCTTATACTAAATCAAACTAAAATATTATACATTTTTTTCTTTATATAGGGATTATAATTTTTGTATAGAATAAATACAAATTTAGCAAATTCTAATTCTTTTTAGCGGAACTCTCACAAAAATTCATATTATTTTTCTACTCATGCAAATTCTTAATTAGCGATCAGTCAAGAACAATGTAATTCCCATTGTTTAGCTGAAAAGAGAATCTTAAGCAGTGTTTTTCTGTCTGTGTTAAATCAAAATGAAGTTTGCTGCTTGCATATTTCTTAAAGTTCTTCAAATTGTGAGTATATATAACTAAAACTTATATTAAATTATATAGAATTATATAGATTCTATATATATATAGATTATACATAGTAATTATAAATTTTAATAATGCGCTCTGTAACCTTGAAAAATACTTGCAAAATACTGTGCTGTTACCACACCCATGTACGCAATTGAGATTTGTCACAGCTGTCTATTTTACTTTGAAATACTGTTGATAATATATTATCTTATTATGCTAAAATATATTTTATTTATTTATTTTTTATAAAATATTTTAATTAATATTTCTCAAATATGTTTCTTAATATTAAAAATTAAACTTCTTTTTTAAATACCTTACCTTTAGGTTTTCACTGTGTCCGCAACAATTCTTAAAAAGTTATCCGACCGCTATTCGGAGCGTTTGGTAACGAGCAATAAGAAGAACTTAAGGGAATGGATGCTTTTGAATACGATTTCTTTGACAAAAGAAGCCGACGATTTTGGTGATCTCGCTTATATAGGCTATATATTTATATCGTCGATCTTATTGCTATCGAGGTAAGAATGAAAATACCTAAATATATAAAATTCATATTGTACACTTCTCATACAGATTCAAAGAGCAAACTAGGAATTACCACATTACTGAGATCATTTTACTAAGTTTTGGAGTATTGTTTTTTATCATACAAGGTATATATTAATATTTGTTTAGCTTTCGAATTGCATGTGTCTAAATATGATATTTATTTAGGGCTACTAATATTTGGTATTATTGAGGAGTTACAAGATAATATTTTAGACTATGGCTACTCCCTGGGAGCTGTAACGTTTCTCTGCGCAATTCTCTTTGCCATTGATCTATTCTTTTTCAAGCAAATGGCCGATCCGAAGAATGCAATATCCCAAACAGATTTGGAAAATGCTATTGAAGCACCCATCAAAGAGGTCTATCAAGTAACAAATATTCCCAAGGTGAATTCACTCGAGCAATGCTGTCATCCATCGGCTGCTAAAAATGTCAGAAAACTTAAATATCTACGAACAGATTTATAATTGTAGTTGTTCAAACTTTTCTTAATATTCAAATTTAAAAAATACATCAAAATAAGTGTAACAAAATTTATTTTAATTGGAAGTACTTGTTTATAGATTCCATATGTGCTTTTTAATTAATTACTAAAAAAGCTTTTCGAACAAATTAATTTAAATTATACATACAATTTAAAATTATATTCGTTTTTTTTTTTTGAAGCTACAGGTTTCTCATAATTTTTGTAAACTTCAGAAATTTTATTAGAATGAAATTCAGAAAAAAAAAAAACAAATTTATAACTTTATAAAAACAAAATATTCTGAAGCTGCTAGCTCATATTGGAAATTGATTCTAAATATATGTATATTTTATTATAATAAACAAGTGTAACCAAATAATCACAAACGATTTGTGATTTGTTACTAAAATTTGATTTTATTCAATATTAATTTTTACAGCATTCTTTTCTTCACTCAGTTGATTGTATTCTACATTTTTCTTAAGGTGTTGTTGTTGTTCATTGCTTTGTGGAGGCAAAGCAAAGCCCTGTTTAGAGACAGCATTGTACACAGCCAGAGCTTGCGCAACAAGTCCAGTTACATCTCCTGGATTTGATGGCAATATCATCGTATTGTTCGACTTTGCTAACTTCTCAAATGCGACAATGTATTGTTCGGCCAATGTTAAAGATGCTGCATTTCTACCGTCCTATAATACAAGATAAGAGTATATGAAAGATATTGAATTAACCTACATAAATCATCTAACCAAGTATTTGTTTTTGTCTAGGCATATTTTTGTACTTTCTTTTTGGATTTATGCACCGAACCGGAATTGAATTGGGTAATAGGCACATATTTTCTTTCTTAAATAGGTCTCATCTTGTTGAATTTTGCTCTTACCGTATGTGCTAAAGATTTTGATATAGCTTGTAGACTACGAGCTCGTGCATCAGCGACTGCAATGATGGCAGCAGCTTCTCCGCTGGCCTTGTTAATGTGCTCTTGCCTTTCAGCCTCTGAAATTATAATTTAATTATATATATGCATAAATTAAGCTTAAGCAGTGCCTGAATAGATATACTGTTGTACATACCTGACGCTAATATTCTTGATTTTCGTTTGCCTTCAGCAATATTGATTTCGGCTTCTCGAACACCCTCCGACTCCAGAATAGCAGCTCTTTTTCTTCTTTCAGCTTCGACTTGCATTTGCATCGCTTCATGGACTCTAGTCGGTAACTAATCGATTTCAAAAATATCAGATGTGTTTGACCTTAATTTAAATACTAAATAGTTACCCTAATATCTCGGATTTCGTAACGTAAACAGGCAATGCCCCAAGCTTCGCTGGCTTTATTTATGGAATCGACAATGCTAACATTCAGGGATTCTCTCTCGCGGAACACTTTATCCAATGACATTTTACCAAGCTCAGATCTCATTGTCGTCTGTGCTAATTGAGTTATAGCGAATTCGGGATCCTCTACACCATAGGAAGCTAGAAAAAGAACAAACTTGATGTGCTTAACTTTTCTAATGAATTGTGTAATAGTTAGTAAGGCATACCTCTATACGGATCAATAATGCGTAAGTAAAGCACGCCATCAATGCTGAGTGTGACATTGTCGGATGTAATGGCGCTTTGTTTGGGTACATCTATCGCGATTTCCTTTAAGCTTTGCACATATTTGATTTTATCGGCGACGGGTACAAGTATATTGAGACCGGGATCTAAAATTCTATGAAACCTTCCCATACGTTCCACTACCCAAGCCTTTATTAAATATTGTCATAGTAAAAGTTTCGATTGTTTAATATAACAAATTAATATTTCGCTTACCTCTTGCTGTGGGACAAACATCACAATTGTGTTCATTGGCGTGGAGGCTTTTCCTCTCAATTGCTTAACAATGCTCGTGCCGGCAATTAAAAGTTCTTTCTAAAATACCATTATATCATTACTTACATAATCTTTGTATTGTTATTATACTTACTTGCGGCATTAATCTACGCGCTGAAAATAGTAACCTAGACATTTTCAAATATCCAGACCTTGGTACTAGACAAATAATATAATTTACTTAACATCATGTTCCTAAGCACAGGGTGATTCAATAAGAACACTGGCCGGCTTTTCAATTCATAATGCCTCGTTTTCACTGTCACAATCGAATCGGTATTGATGCTATTCATAATGTATGATATGATTATGGTAATATTTATATGTACTTAAATATTTACTTAGTTTTAATTGTCCACAATTTTAAGGATCTGCAGAAAACTTATTGCATTATTTGAGATAATACACAAATAATGATCAGCCTCAAGAATACTATATTGAAAAAAAAAAGGAGATCAGTGTATAATTGAGTAATAAGTAACTTTTTCAAAATTCAATGCAAATCTCAAGTTACAAATTACTTAAATTTTCATTTTCTCTATCGCTTTAAAACCCTACACCGTCCATTCTGTTTATAGCAGTTACATGTTCTACAAATTCCATATATTGTCAACACATTGATTGTTGATAATTTGTTGAGCTTTTATTATCGGAATTTCTCGTGACCGATGCTGTTCAACTTATATTCCATCACAGGGCTATCGATATTCCTCAACAATATCATGTGTGCTACCTATCGATAGATTATAGATATTCCAGTTCTATCATTATGGTACTTATCATAAGCAATTTCGTTTTCTAACCTTAGCTAATATTTAATATTGATTATATTATATAAATTGTCATTTATAGAAAATACGCGGAATTGTTGAGAACTGATCTATTCGACCTGTCATTAAAATAAGAACGTAGTTTTTAAGAAGGTTCTATTCTAAATTGTATCCTGAAACATATGTAATGCAATCACTACGGTCGCTGTTTGTGCAGAACTCAATCATAATGATGCGTGGAGCCCGGATTATTAGTCTAAACGGATGGTGTCACAGGCAGCGGTCATGGACGTCCATTCTGCGGCGACTATACGTAACACAAGTGAAATGCACAAACCCTTTAATTCAAAAATGCAATATTACACAAACGGCTTCTGATGGAAATCGTGAGACCAAACCAAAGAACAACCCGGCTTTGGATAACAAGTCCAATAAAAGCGCTGAGGACTTAGATCGCGCCTACAACGTGCTGAAGAGTACGTTGCCAAAGCTGTTCGTCGAACCCCTGGATTACTCCATTTATAGTCCAAATCTAATATTTCAAAATAACATAACTGGCAAATATACGGTAGGTCTGTACCACTATGTTAAGCAAATAGCTATTCTACGAACCGTTGGTCATCTGAAGTATGCGTATGTTAAATTTGAGATCCTTAAAATAACGAAACACCCGGACGATTGTACGGTTCGGATCAGATGGCGAGTGAGAGGCATATCGGGCTTAAAAGTAATGTTTCAATTTTGGAAGTACAAAGTGTGGCAGCTGCAAGAGATCCTTAAAGATCAGGAGGCGTGGTACGATGGATATTCAGTATGCTTTCTAGGCGAAGATGGCTTAATTGGCAAGCATATCGTTGACAAAATAATGCCAGATGAGAGTCGCGAAATCGTTGACAACAGTTCCGGCTCAGCGTTGCCAACTGGGTCCGTAGCGGCTACGGCGACGGCGACAGTATCACAAAAGATCAACTTTCATCCTCATGAATATTTATTGTATCCATTACGAAATTAAACTAAAATAGTTGGGGCCACATCAAATGTGGGTCAGCAATTACTTAAACAAATAAATTTTTTTTGGTTTAAATATTCATATTGGCGTTGTTAAAAACTTATATTTATTTATTGCTTAAATGTAAATGTAGAGCCCTTCATTATGTACTTATATGGACGCAAACGAATACGTTTCGTAAATGTACTAATATATGGTTTTTCTTTGTTGTATTCCCGAACTGTCTGCATGGCACCTTCCGTTTCAAGGAATATATCGAAACTATATATGGTACGAAACAGTTGGGAGTATAGCAGTCGATTGCCCTTCTTCAGTTGTGACGGCTGCAAGGAGTTCGTCCAAAATTCCATCATCTGTGAAACGAGTTGAAATATTTCAGCATCAGTCAACAACATATATAATTTGCAACTCACTTTTATAGCCGCATTGTTCATTGAGGTGTGTCGTCCATTCCAGTGTACACTTAGGATCCAAAGTGGAATATCTAGGGGATAATTGCTGGGTATTCGAATGAAGCACTCCATTTTGGCAGATCCTCGTACAATTACAGCCCTATAGGAAGTGTACGTAATTCCATTGGATGGCGTCAAATTATAAATTAATCCAGCGTTTTGGATGTTAAACTCCTCACTGGAGATTGCAGTCCACTGCACTAGGCTGCACGATAAGCCATCTGGATAAATATTCTCCTTTGAGGCAGACAGATCGACATCTTTATAGGTCAAACCACGAATTTGCTGAGTTAGTCTTAGCCACGATCGCCAACGTTTCAAGATTCGCGTAAAAACTTTGCGAATCCACTTATGCAAATTGAATTCATGCTTGAAATGTTGCTTCTTGTTGACTGTTGCTATCGAGCACATGCTTTGCAGCCAACAATATGGCTTTCCGAATCCATTTTCAACCAAATATTCCAGGCACTGCTCCGCGGTTAAATTTAAGTTTTGCAACTGTAAATATAAATTAGAGCAAGTTAATGGATGTTAAATAATACAATAGATTATTTTTTAAAAACTGGTAAGTCATTTTGCTGCTGTATTTCGAAGATTCAGATGCCATGCAAAAGCGAAATTGCCAATTAGTTTCTCATTTTTTGTCTCACCTCATATTCTATGCCTGGAATAGGAATATGATCTCCTGTATCATCCGGATATAAATGACCGAGCAGGTCCTCAACCAAATTGGCATCTCTGAGGAAAATTAAACGTAAATTACATTGAATAAAGTACTACAAGATTATTACGAACCCTTGAAAATTGGAGTTGTTTGTGCTGTTTAGTTGTGCCCGCACGGTTACACATTTAAGCAATTCCCAATATCTCACTATTAATACCAACTCAGAAGACTTATCAGGACTGTCAATCTGAAATAAAAATAAGTTAAGATGGTTCAGCAATGAATATACTTATAGACGGTTTAGTTCAACTTACAACTAGATGTATATGAAGTGGATGACATTTCAAGACACGATCCAAGGTATTATCAGGCACAGCTTCACATGAATTACTTTTTTCGGTGAAAT